AATCACACAAAAGCTAAATATGAGTAAAAAATCTGATCCAGATAAAATAGTTCTGGAGTTTTAATATGATTCTACAAATATAACTCGATTATATTTTTCATGTTTAGACCCATTTACAGGCTGATAATCAGAGTCAGCTGTTGTCTTTTATACTTACTGACTTTATAAAAATAGTTTCTATAAATATTCATCTAACTTTCCGTCCAGCTGCGACTTTGGTCTTAAAACTGGAGCTTATCAACACAAAGCTGCAGATCAGACGATTGTTTGACAGTTTCCGGCTGATAAATGCTCATTTCTTAGATTCATTCTCCAACCTGCTGCCTGGTTTTCAGAGTTCAGAGAGTTTAACGGTTAAATAATTTAACGTGAGTCGTGTCGTCCTCCACAGGTACCAGTATCCCACCATGGACCAGCTGGCCGGGATGCTGCCCACTGTGGTCCAGCACTTCGGGTCGGTGCTGCTCGTTTAACGTCACGTTTGTTCTGTCTGTTTCATCTCCTGTTGAATCTTAATTTAGCAGCTTTAAGTTGCTTTTAATGCTCCTAATGTTTTGTATTGAATAGAAACAGAAGTGTAGTTAAAGTGTATGTTGCACGATGCTCCCCAGGTTTGTCTTTTTCTTGCTTTGTTCTGCAGAAATCATCATGATTTCAGATTTTTTTGTGACCATAAAGACAGACTGGGATCAGTGTGCTGAGGTTCTGCTGCCAGCTGGATGTAATTGTAGCTGAACACTGAGTTCCAGTCGCAGCTGATCAGAGGAACTGATTAAATCCTGTTTTATTCTGTTTTATCATCCACGTCGGTTTATGTCTTTTTATGAAAAGCGTCTAACAGAGCTGCTCTGGTTCAGGTTCAAGAGCATCGTGGGCATCGGAGTCGGAGCCGGAGCTTATATTCTGGCCAAGTTCGCTGTGAGTCTCGTAAAAAACCTGAAATCTTCTGTGACTGAGACGTTTCTGCTGCTTTTGGCTTCATTTTGCTGCTGCGCTGTAAAAAATATTCAGTAAAAACTATTAAAATAACAACATTAAAATGTTGAATTATGATATTTTTAGCAGATTTAAATAAAGTAAGAAATTGTGAGTTTTACATTTAAACATCCTAAAAGATGAATTACTACTTTTAAAATGTCCAATTTTTGGTGCTGATATTATTTACAGTTGTTTTGTTGTTGTTGTTGTTTTACAGCCAACGTCTAAATTAATACTTTCTGTCTTTGATTTTATTAACAAAACAGGAAAAATCTGCAAAATATTTGCAAAATTCCAGTTAAAAATGCTCATTTCTCAAAAATTATTACCGTATTTCAGCGTCACTTTTTACGTTTCTATTCTAGTTTTATTTGAACTCGCTGGTTTTTATTTTGATTAGTGTCTTGTAATTATATTTAATTTCCATTCTATGATTTTATTCTCATTTTATTGCTGTTTTTTTGGGTCAATATCTGACACAAGAATTTCAATCTAGATTAATATAGTTCCATCTTAACTTAACTGAGCTTAACTTAGTTTAGCTTAACTTAACTTAACTTAACTAAGCTTAACTTAACTTAGCTTAACTTAACTAAGCTTAACTGAGTTTAACTTAACTTAGCTTAGCTTAACTTAACTTAACTTAGCTCAACTTTGCTTAGCTTAACTTAGCTTAATTTAACTTAACTTCACTTAACTTAGCTTACTTAACTAAGCTTAACTGAGTTCAACTTAACTTAGCTTAGCTTAACTTATCTTCGCTTAACTTAACTTGCATGAAAGTATATGAAAATACAAATAATAATAATCATTAATAGGATAAATTCTAACGATTTTTTATAGATTAAGTGTTTTATTTACATATATTGGAGCTAAAAACTGTCTTAAAGTCCATGTTTTACTTTTTTTTTTTTTTTTTAACCAAACAGCAGTATTTGTAATTTGAAGAAACACCAAAAATCTGAATTAATTAACGACACAACAACTTAAAAACGTCTCATTTCACATGTTTACACATCATAAGTTTCTCTTAACTTCAGCTTTGGTTCGTAATCGGCTGGTTTTACTGTGTTTCTGTGTTTTCCAGCTGATCTTTCCCGACCTGGTGGAAGGTCTGGTTCTGCTCAACATCGACCCGAACGGTAAAGGATGGATCGACTGGGCCGCCACCAAGGTGCCTCTTTCTACCCTGAGCTGTGTTTATTCAGACGTTTACGAACCGGACGTTGTTTTGTTGACGGTTATTTGTGCTTCCAGCTGTCGGGTCTGACCAGCGCTCTGCCGGATACGGTGCTGCCTCACCTGTTCAGCCAGGTGAGCTGCCTACCCGCGAGATAAAACTAGACGCCGTTGGTATTTCTTCAGTTCTAGCTGGTTTCTATTGTGGAACTTCTAGAAATTAGCTGTTTTCATGATAACTAATGTTTAAAATGGGTCAAAATTTGTACAAAAACTTGGTTAACGTGACAGAAAATGGTCCAAAATATTGTGATAATGATTAGAAATGCGTCCCAACATGTAAGAAATTGACCAAAAACTACTTAGAAATGGTCAAAATGGAATCAAAATGTGTTGAAAATGAGAAAAACCTTGTGTGATGTCTTAAATTGCAAAAATTTGTCCGAAAGGAAAAAATAAAATGACCAAAATGACAAAACGTCGTCTAAAATTGGAAGTTTTTGGAGAATATTTTGTTTTATACTCCACATAAATGTACAGTGCTTAACACAGTTATTAAACCTTCACCCAAAGTCAGATTTATGCCGACAAATTAACAACACTGCTAATTACCAAAACCATTTCTCATGTTTCTGTAACGGTTAATACACCAGAATGTAGGAGCTCTTTAACCCTAAATGCTAAAATATGATTATTGTTGTTTTCAAATGGACTGTTTTACCAAAAAAGCTGAAAAATTAGTAAATCACATTATTATCTATTTATTAAGATGTCAAATTCTAGTTATTTACTTACATTCCTGAACAGAAACATTAGCTTTAGTGGTTCAGTGTGATGCTCGATTGGCTCAGATTTGGGTTTAAAAAGGTGAATTCAGTTTGAAATGTTCAGAAATGGTGAAACGTGGAGAGCTGAGTGTGAATTAAAGCACCTCATGATGCTGGATGGTCTACAGATGTACCCAGTAGGCTTGAGAGATTAGACAGGTGGTCTGATGAGTTTGTTAAGCACGGAGCAGCTTTAATTCAGTCCTCGTGTATGCTTCTGGTCTTCCTCCGTTGGAAACCCTACCGGTTTTCCTTCCAATAGCCGTGACTCGACCTGGTTTTGGACTCTCGGCGAGTCGTTCTGGTGCCGTTCTGACCGAGCGTCTGTTGGTTTGCAGGAGGAGCTGATGAACAACACGGAGCTGGTCCAGAGCTACAGGCAACAGATCAACAACACCGTCAACCAGTTCAACCTGCAGCTCTTCTGGAACATGTACAACAGGTAGGACCGCNTCCTCACTAGATCCTTCTCTCCTCACTAGATCGTGTTGCATCTTTGTCTTGTATCTGCTCTCAGATTTGGATAAAAGCTTCTGCAGAATGAAGCTGTAGAATCAGAGCCGAGCTGCTGCAGCATTATTAGTATTCAGCAGCACAGGCTGGAAGACGCTGCAGAGAAACGCAGAAAACACAGGATGCTGCAGGAAAATACAAGGAAAGCACACAGAAATACACAGAAAAGACACAATGCTGCAGGAAAACACACAAAAAACTCTGAAAAATACACATAAAACACTTGATGCTGCAGGAAACCACAGAGACAACACTGGACAGAAACACAGTAAAACAGTCAGACTGGGTTTTCTGCAGCTTTTCAGTGTTTTTGTTTTATTTTTACTGAAACTGTCGATTTTATTTTATCCTTTTCTGTTATAACTGATTCCAGACTCTGCGGTAAAATAAGAGTTTTAGCGTTTTAATAAAGTGACTTTACAATAACAACGTGTAGACTGAACACAAAAATTTTAAAAAGAAAAAAGAAAATCTGCAGAAAGGTTCCAGAAAAAAGACATTTAACACATAAATAAAATAATAGCAAATATCTGGAAAATAATCATATTTCTTGCTGATTAAAAAACAGGTTTTTGATGCTTATTTATGTTTTTTTTTTTTTGGTTAACATGTGATTTAATACTTTAACTTACATTTAAATCTTAATACAAATTATATGTCAGTTAAAGAAAAAACTGTAAAAACTAGTAAACAACTAAAGATTCTTTATTTTAATGTAAAAATCAACAAATAAACTGATAATAAAACACAAACAGCTGCATTTTAATGACATCGTTTTAGGTTAATTTGTATTTAAATGCAGAAAACAGACAAAAAGGGATTTTTTTCTGTTATTTTTAACTTTAAATGAATAAAAACATGATTTATGATGTGAATGTGAATTTTTTAAAATTAAAAAACAGCTTTTGATTGATGTTTATTTCTTATTTTTTATTAATTTTCTTCATAACTTTTCATGTAAACGTCACTAAATCACAGAATTATCGTCATTTTACGTGAATTTATTTGAAATCAAAGGAAACAGAAAAAAAAGTGAACAATAAAATAAATTCAGTGTAAACAACAGAATCAGACTTTATAAATAACATCAGAGTCATCTTCTATAAAATCGGATCAACGCGGGTCGTTTGTTCTCTGGTGTGTGAACCGGGTCAGACACAAGCTTCACGTCTCGCTGGTTCTGCTGCAGATTGAACCGGGTCAGTCGGTTCTGAGCGGCGCCTCTGACCCGGCTCAGCGTTAATTAGTGCCTTTAATTAACCGAAGAGAACCGAGGAAGCAGAAGTGGGTCAAAACCGAGCTGAACGGGTTCCTGCCAACCGAACCAGAACACGACTTCGGGTTCAGTGACTTCAGAGGAACGAACGAACGAGAACGTCTGCAGCAGAACTTTAATTATTCTGAACCGGGACGACAGTTTTGTGTTATTTTGAACATTTCTTTGAGTCATTTTAGAGAATTTGTCAGAAATGTTCAACAGTTATAAAGACTGTGGGCTCATTTTTATCT